AATGTATCGTCATACGTGGTTCCCAAACTCTGAACTCTTTCGAAACTAGATTGAAAACGTATAAAAATATCTGTATCAAAATAAAAGAGACATTCCGATCGTTTGAGTTAGGCCGGATGCGGAATATGTTGCGGTGCAGTTAAATTCACAATAAATTTAATATTCTAAATCTTCAATCAACACAGTACGTGTGGGAAACTCGTCTCATGTTGAGATATGCTTTAAAATGACCTCATTTTTCCTAGGCCTAAATAAAGATCGGACATGATGATGGAAGGCGGGCAGAACATGCATGACTGCTGATTAGTTTGGATTTTCTACTTCTTCAATGTTTAAATAAAGGGCACCGTTAGTGTAACTTTGTTCTTAAAATAAGAAATGACAATAGCATCCAACATGTCTAGTCTAATAACTTTCTACAATGAAGTTAAGGTACTTTCCATGGACTTTTAATGTTACAACTGACATGACTGATAGGGAACATAATATATGTATAATAAGGATACAATTTCAAAAACTATTGACCTTCAAAGAAATTGCAAATCCCTAAATCGGAAACATTCGTGTTTGAAACTTACCATTTTCAGACATTGCAAAATCAGATCATCTTGCTTGCGGTTCAATCGAAATCTTGACTTGTGCTTGTCCTATACATCTTGATGTCGTATCTTGACTTGAAGTTAAGATCAGGGGTGGGAACATCTCCAATGTGTACAGTACTCCATCGCAGAACCAAATATTGACAATATTGTTGAAAGGTGCACAAAACTTGTTCATTTTGGACCAATATGTCTCTTCCCGGAGCTGCTTCAGTTGTGACTGTTGTTTTAACGGATATTCAAACTGGCCAGCCTCGTACAGCAGTGGAGTTCGTTGGAATGCAAGAGGTCACACACAGGGCATACATATGCTTACGTGTAATACGTTTGGGCTATACGGTTTTCGCGCGCGCGGCATTTGGCTCTGGGCCAAGACAATTATAATTGGCGCGCGCCGCGGCTATTGTGGAAAAGTCGTCAAAACGGACGATATATTTTGGTTGAAACAATGATAATAACGACCGGACATCAATTTTATAACCATCAGCTAGCTGACCACAATTCAACGTCTTTTTTAGTCGTTCAAATTAATAAGGCGTCCGATAATTTCGTTTGGGAATTACGACGTTGCACATGCATTCCTTAATGACTTTTTTTATTTTATTAATTGAAAAACAGACGTTATATTTTGGTCGAAACCATGACACACTATCGACGTAATGTAAATAACCAACAGCCGACCACAATTCAACGTCATTTTTGAGTTGCTGAAAAGACGTCAGAAAACGGACGTTTTATTTTGGGTAAAACCATGACATAACGATATTGTAACCATCCACTGACCAGAAATCAACGTCGTTAATTGATTCGTTGAAATGACGTTAGAAAACGGACGTAATATCATGGTTGAAAACATGACCTAATAACGACGTCAAATATTATAACCAGCAGCCGACCACAATTCAACGTCGCTTTTTAAGATATTGAAATGACGTCAGATAATGGACGTTGTGTTTTGGTTGAAAGCATGACATAAGTACGACGTCAGTTATTATAACCAACAGCCAACCACAATACAACGTCGATTTTGAGTCATTTGAACGACGTTAGAAAACGAACGTAATATTATGGTTGAAAACATGACTTAATAACGACGTCAAATATTATAACCAGCGGCCGACCATAATCCAACGTCACTTTTTGAGTCGTTAAAAAAAAAGGTCAAAAACGGACGTTATATTTTGGGTAAAAGCATGACATAATAACGACGTCATGTAAAATAACCAGCAGCCGACCACAATACAACGTCATTTTTGAGTCGCTGAAAAGACGTCAGAGAACGGACGTTATATTTTAGGTAAAACCGTGACTTAATAATGACGTTAAATATTTTAACCATCAAACGACCAGAAGTCAACGTCGTTATTTGATTCGTTGACACGACTTTAGAATACGGACGTAAAATCATGGTTAAAAACATGACCAAATAACGACGTCATATATTATAACCAGCAGCCGACCATAATTCAACGTCACATTTTGAGTCGTTGAAAAAACGTCAAAAAACGGACGTTACATTTTAGTTAAAAGCATGACATAAGTACGACGTCGGATATTGAAACCAACGGCCAACCACAATTCAACGTCGTTTTTTGAGTTGTTGAAACGACGTTAGAAAGCAAACGTCATATCTTGGTTGAAAACATGACTTAATTGTGACGTCGCGAAGGGAAACGCAAAAATAACAATAATACAACGTTGTTTTTCAGTCCGTTGTATAGACGTTGACAAAACAACGTCATACCATGGTTGCAATTACGTTTGGTAATATTCCCGACCAAATTCCAACTATATTTCGACGTTGTTGTTACGTAAAATTCTGACGTTAAATTGTCGACACTAAAGCAACGTCTGGCAGACGTTATAATGCCAACGTCGTCTTTTGGTCGACTAAAACAACGTTGATTTTCGGTTATGTATGGTTGATCCGACGTTGCGACCATAAAACAACCATTATACAACGTCAGTCTGACGGTCGGTGCCTGCTGGGAAGTGCTGTCATTTCAAAAAGAACAATGTGGAACAAAACATGGAAGTTTTGTTTTGGTTTGTCAGTGTAGCAGCAAAAAACATAAACAATTTTCATACTGTAGTAACCTTCATTAATTCTTCCATTACCTTGATATCATCCAAACTTGATCATTGAACTGAAGTTCTTCAATAAAGTTGATGGGTTACATTTGGGCTTACATTTGTACATTAGTGTGAATTAAAAAAGTTACATGTTAAGCCGGATGCACACCATTCCAATTGTACCTGTTATCACTGCTACCTTTTTGTTTCACCGTTGCGGAGACCGCAGCGTTAACCCGCACACATGCTTGGTTCCGTTCTATAATCGGTCACATAATGATCAGTCACATGATGACCAGTCACATGATGACCAGTCACATGATGACCAGTCACATGATGGCAAACTGGCAGCCGTCAAGTTTGAATCACGTGACTTCCTTTGTTTAATCAGATTGGTTAAAACATAAATATTGCGGCCGGTGAAATAGGAGTGCTGCCTGCATACCTTTCCGGTGAAAAAAATGTTTGATTTCATCAAATCACCCGGTGTACGTTCAGATCGGTCTGATTTTTCAGTGCACACCTCTGTATTTTGATGGCCCGATGATCCGTCGAACCGGTAAAAATGGAAACTCGGCAGGCTTTAGAGAGTGCTGTTTAAACAATTTTAAAATGGTTGTCAGATTGTTCTATAGGTCACTACTGTAACTGGCTTAACCTCATATTTCCTATAAAAGAAATAATCCTGCTATTTCAGTTTTGTAAAGTAGGGCATATTGAATGCCAAACATGTTTTTTCAATAGAAGTGTGCACGTGTACCATGAGCTGTTAAAAGCTTGAACACGTGTTGGTTGTGTTACTCATTTTCAAAGAATTCTTGGTGTCTTTCCAGATCACACAAGCAGAAGCCAGTACGGTCTTGTAATCAGAGTAAATGCATAATGATGAGTTACGCTTTTATGATTATTTCATTTGACTAAATATTGGTGTGTTTTTTTTTTACATTTGCAAGTTTGTTTGATTCTGAAAATTTTAAGAATCTATTTTTGGAGTGAATGACCTAAAAAAGATTGGTAACACAGCTGTTCAGCAGCGTATCCAGCTATTTATAGGGGGGGGGGGGGGAACTAAATTAAGACTTAACTATATGATGTCTGAACTATATTAAAACCATCTTTAAAAACCAAAATGCTGGGGGGGGGGAGAGAATGAGTTCCCCCATACCGGTACGCCACTGCAGCTGTTTACATGCTCATCAGATTCCAAACAATTTGAGATATATTTCAAAAGGAATTGGTCTTCTTGTTAGTATTCTTGTGAGCATTTTCAGAAACTAAATATTGATGAGTTCAGGACTGTCATCATTGAGCTGCCGGTAGATGGCTCAGTTAGTTGAAAACTGACTCTTTATTTTGAGTGTTTTAGATTCACATCCAACTTTTTCCAGTATGAAACTATCAATGATTCTTGTAAAATGGAATTGATTTACGTAATGAACCCAATCACTGCAAAATTGAAAATATTTCAGAGCAAGCCCTTGGAATCAGAAGGGGCTGAAACCAACCTCGGGTGTTTGCCTGGTTGGGATTAGAACCCAGGTCTGAAAAGTTAAAGGGCAAGGAACGGCCATTGTGCAACCCTAACTTGCTAATCCTTGACTATTCAAATACAGGGCCTGTTTAAATGTTCTGTATGCCCTAGGCATCAGTGTTCTGTAGGCCCTACTCCGCACTAGGCACCAATTTCATGTTGGTGTACTAAGCAAGCCAGGCCAAACTGTTAGCTCTAAAAGCCTGTTTGCGAACAGGTATTTTTTCTACGCCCTCAATTTATTTTGTAGACCCCCAAATGTTTTGCAGGCCCTGGGCACAGTGCCTTGGATAGTCCTGGCCTGTTCAAATATCTGCCTTGACTTCACACTTCACATACTGGTATTTATTTCCTTGGCGAGTAGACCAATATTTGTGATTTGTGTGTGTGGGGGTGAGTTTGTGTTACATACCCTATGTGGACTTGTGAACAAAAGAGGTCCACATAATGCAGGTTGTGTTAACCTTATGTGGACTAAGCCGTGTCCACATAAGGTTTTGCCCTTTCTGGAAAACAGGTTTAGAGGCATTTTTGGGTTAGGTTTATCTGTAGCAGAATGAAGAGAAACACTATAGGGAATCATAGAAAAAAAATTGGGTTAAAAGAGTTTTCACAGTTTAAGTAAAGTTATTTTTTGTACCGAGTTTTCTTAACTACACGAAAACAAAGCAATGTCCACACAAGGTATGTAACGTAAGTCTGAGTGTGTGTGTGTGTGTAGAGACAATTGTGTTTTCATAACTGTTTTCTACAACCCCCTGTATTCTCTATAGGCCCTACCTCTTTTCTATCCACAGAGAGAAAACCCAAGCCATGGGATCCCGTCCCGGCCCGCTTCCTGAATCGCATCGAGGACTTGACGGTCACAGAGGGCGAGGAGGCTCTCTTCCGCTGTCAGATCATCGGCCATCCCATCCCAGAGGTCACATGGTTTCAAGATGACGAGGTGCTATGCCCATGTCAGGACGTCAAGATGACGTTTGACGGGCGGACGACGTTTATGATCATCGCGGCGGCGTACCCTGAAGACAGCGGCCAGTACACCTGCCAGATTTACAATGGGTTAGGAGGACGATTAAATTGTAGTGCCCATCTGAAAGTCAAAAAGATCAAGTCTAGGAAACTGGTTCCTAAGCCGCCAGAATTCACTGAAGTTTTCCACGACCGGACAGTTGCTGAGGGAACCGAAGTCAAGTTTGAGTGTCGGATACGCGGCAATCCCAAACCCAAAGTGGCCTGGCTGTTCAACAATAAGGAACTCAAGCAGTCGCCGGATTTCTTATTCTTCCGCAAGCACAACCTGTACGTGCTTCACATCGTTGAGGCCTTTCCGGAAGACGAAGGGGAATATACGTGCAGAGCTTTCAACTCAGTCGGAGAGTCTCAGTGGAGCGCCGAGCTCTTTGTGGAGGAAACACAGTCCACGATCCCCTCTCCAGCCATTGGAACCATTACAGCGAACTTCTTCAGACCGTCGTTCCTCAGCCACACAAAAGACTGCAAAGCCGTTGAGGGCGGCCCGGCCACCTTTAACTGTAAAGTTACCGGCTCCCCCGAACCGGAAGTGGTATGGCTCTTCAATCAGTCGGAGATAGGGGCCAACGACCACCACATTCTGGAACACGGGGAGGATGGGAGCTGCATGCTGATTATTCCGCATGTCACACCCAAGGATGTGGGAGAGTATACATGTGTCGCAAGGAGTTCACTGGGAGTTGCTCAAAGCATTGCCGGTTTAGAAGTCACAGAAAGAAGTAAGTAACCCAACTCATAATGTGCAGTCCTTCTGATTTGAAAATCACAGGTGTGTGGAAAAAGGCACACCTGGATTTTTTTAGGTGTGTGATTTTTTTAGGCGTGTGATTTTCTAGGCGTGTGATTCTGTGATCCAAGCTGGGACTGAACAATCTGTTTGTTTCCTTCATAATATTCATTTTGGTTTACAACAAAGCCGTTTTCTCTGCACTGACGTACTTTATTTTTCACGAAAAGATACCCATATGTAGCCATCACTTGTCACCCTGTGCACAATCCGTATGAGACTGGTCTGAAAATTTCTAAGTGTTTTCTCCGTAAATACTGCAATCTTTTCCCTGCCAAATTTGACTTTTTGGACATATCACTTTTGATGGCTGATAGGTCACTGAAGGGAAAAATTAGTGATGCATGGACAAAAATTTATGAAATATAATTATGCCGTAAATGTATGCCAAGGTGTGCGGTACTGAGGGATTCAGGCGTGTGATTATTCGCACTTCTCAGGAAGCTTTTAGGCGTGTGATGGCGTGGGGGTGCGATCGCACGCCTCAAATCAGAAGGACTGAATGTGAGTCTTTTAATCCTTTTTATAATTACCAGTATAGTCTTGCAACACCTCACGATGGTTCACTCTTCTACATTTTGTTTTTACAATTTCCTTGGCCACTGTGTAGTTTTTCAGCATTCTGACTTTTCTTTCTACTCTTCCAACTTGACAGTAGACCAGTTTTTGCACGAGAGTAACTCATCCAGTTTTGTCATCTGTCAGAATGTATGACTAAAGTTCCCACTCTTTACAAAAAAAAAAGTTCTTACAGTTTCACTGCTAGAAGAGCATTTGCACTTCAATCACAGGGATAGGCCAGGTTTAATAAGATTGGACATTTCGCATGATGAAGTCAGCAATAAGTGTAAGTTTGCAGTTGCACCATGTGAAGGCAAATATCTTTAATGACTTTCTACTGGTGTGGTTCTGAGCTGAGAAGAACCGGTAGAACTCAAACTTTCTGACAGTATACAGGGTGAGTAAAAAATATAACAAAACTCAAAAGGCAGGACCAATTTTTGAATGAACTTTTGCCTGTAGCACTTTTAAAATCTATGATATAAAAGCCCAGTCATTAAGTTTTCTTTTAGTACAAGAATCGCTCAAATCACTTATGTACTTTTCAAGTTACGGAATTTTGAACACAAACACCATTTTAAAGTTCTTCCCACGGATCACAACAAAGGAAAGTGTTCTTTCTGCATAACGGAAACAATTCACATGCATCCCTATGACGCTCACCCTGTACTCTGTCCGTTTTCATCTTCACCTGATGATGGGCAGGGCATACAGCCCAAGCCATTCAAAACCTGTCGGTTCTTATCCAAACCAAACATGCTCATGAAAGACATTTGCTTTAAGGCACATAGTTCAACCACAAACTTACACTTACACATTTAAGGTACCCGGTACAGTCCATCATTTGTAATTTGTGCATTCTGTTCGTTTGAAGCAACAATAGTGCTCAAAATCTAAAGAAGGGCGCTCAACAACTAACCTGATGAAGTTTCAGCTCAGCTTTAGCTGTATATTTTAAGAAAAACAACATTCTAGGATCTCGATTTCAAAACAAAAGTTGCTGAATCATGTTTTGAATTGGGCCTGAAGTTAGCGTCCGAGACGTGTTCTTTGCAGCTACGCGATGTTGCGCACTGATCCGACAAATTATAGCAACCGCGCGCGCGTGTGCGTCGTGTCAACGCTTGCGCGTGCTTCGCCAAATAACAAAACGAGCTTCTAATTTGAATTTCCTACGGCGCTTCTTAAGAAGCACATTTGGAAAGGCCTGCTTTTTGTTGATTTCTTCAAAATGACAGCTTGCCAGAAAGAAAAATTTCACAGGGAGTTTAGTCCCCTTACTATCTTTCAACCAAGTACATGTATGTTTTTCAACAATAATTACGCCAGTTACTTTTTGGATAGCTGCAAATGATGGACTCTGGCTTTAAGTTTGTTAAACCTAGAGATACCGGTATATCCAATCATGTGACAGCGCCTTGCCTCATGTTTCCTCTCTGTCTCTCTCTCTGCAGTCTCTGATGATGATCAAGAGCAAGATAGTGGTTATCGTGGCCAGGAGAGAAGGCTTAGTGATGACTTCCGATGTAGCAGTTCAGGAAGTGCCGGTATCAAATTTTTCTTGGGTTGTTTTCTTTATTATTTATAACCTTGCTATCATTTACAGCTTGAGTTTAAGATTTGGAAGCTGTTCGAGGAGCATAATTTCTCCGTCGGTGACAGAATTTACATGTGCTGCACTCGGAAGTGCTCTTATCACACAGATATTGGAAAATTCGAGAACTGGATAACTCAGTAATCGGTAAAGCAATGATACTTCTTCTTGCGTATGACTGTTGCAGCAGTGTATACTATAGTGACAGATCCAAATTGGAGAGCCAGGTAAGGGCATTGTCTGTCACAAGGTGGATTTCCTTGATGCCTCCTGGGAACTTCGTCAGCATGCAATCATTCACAATGTGTGAGATTGTCTGATCTGGATGGCCGCACTCACATGCCGAGTTGTCCCAGAACTTCAATTGATGTAGATTGTGTGCAGACCTGGCATGTAGAGTGCGGATCCTGTTGAGAGTGGTCCACTCTTGCCTGTCTAGGTTGAAACCAGGGGGTACGGTGGTGGGATCGCGTACCAGGTCCTTGGTGGTGTATTTGCAATGATACTAAAAGTTGTTATGAACGGCTCTTTTCTCTGCAGTTACTAATAGGATATTGACTAAGTATGCATGTGTAACACAGTGAAAACTCTGCAGTGTCACGATCCAGCCCTCTTTTTTAACTTTTAGTACAAACACAATTCTGTATTTGTAAATCATTTGTGAAAGATAAGGTGATGAAGATGAGTACTGTTTTTTGTGCAGACTAGTACTTAAATGTGGATATGAGTGCTACAATTTTTTTAAAACTACAAATGTACGGTACTTCTCAAGTACCCCGATTGTGCAACTTTCCTTTCCTGTTTGCTTCAAGACATTCCCAGTCGTCCAGTCGGCAAACCCAACGTTTCCAAGATCGCCGGCGAATCCATCCTCCTAACATGGGAGACTATACCCAACAATGACTTGGACTCCACCGTCATGTACATCATAGAAGGCAAGGATGCCAGCGAAGAAGATTGGATCCTGATCGCTACCGATGTCACCGATACCTCATACTGGGTGTCCAGTGTCAATCCTGAAGGAGGGTACGTCTTCAGGGTACGGGCGGAGGGAGAGAATGGAATCAGCGAACCGTCTGAGGAATCCGATGTGGTCTGTCTGATGCATTTATGTAAGTATTCTACATGTAAGTTTGAATCAAATTTGATATTTGCCTTTTTGATACGTTAAGCTGTGGAGCACTGTGGGCCAATGGTTACCGGTACGGTGTTGGACCCATGTGCCAGGTAGTCTATGGAATATCCTTTCGCACAGCAAGGGTCTATGTATGCGAGCAGATTCCGCGATTAATTATGCAAACAAGACTTTGTCTTGACCTCAAAATTTTGACCATTCAGCGGGCGCCTTCTATATTGGGTCTTTGTTAACCCGTTGTTGTATTACAAAAACATGGCATCTAAATTGACCAATCAACAGCTTAGTCTTCATTACTGATTGAAACGATGTCACAGTTTCTAAAGTCCACTCTGATTGGCTGGCACGCCAACATGGATGATGAAAATAGGGAAAATAAATAATTTTTACACAAAAAAAGTCCTTCATTTATGAGTGATTTTGTTCACTGTGATGTCAGTTGCACCTGAAGTGAAACTCGTGCAGCAGTTGTTGAAGATGATTTACTTCCACCAATCCATCATTATCCATCATTCTCAGTGCAGTAAGAATGGCATCCCTACACTCCCACTCACCAACGCACTTACGACGGGTCTAAATGTCACGGCCATTTCCTGGTCTTTTCATCACCAACGGGTTTAACGTTCTGTCAATAAACTACATCTTAAAACAATTTCTATATTTATCTAGGAAATCTATTTATGAGACTGTGTTAAGTACCATAGACTAGTGCACACTTTTGCAAATGCTGACTGAGCTGCAGACTGGGCCATAGATCTAGAGCTAAAGGGGGGTGGGGTGTATCAAAGACCCGCATGTATGGGAAAGGTACATGGCTCTGCTAATGGCCAAGTTTGCACTTAAAATTACCATTCTATACTAACAGCTCTAGTTCAGAAATTCTGCACAAACCTTGTTGCCGGCCACAAAATTCTTAACTCTTTCAGTACCCGCGAAATTTGAAAAGTTTAACCCTAAAGTGCCCAACTTCGAGCGTTTTTCTTAATTGTTCAAAATTCTGTAAAAAAAGAAGTAAATAAGTTTTACTCACTAAATTTGTTGCTGTTGCTCTCTGGTATATCCTTGGTACATTGGAAAGTCAATAGTAGTCACGTACATGGTGCTACACCCTGAAACACTGAGTGTCAGTGCTGCCCCCTCTCGCAAGAACTCGAATGAAACAAATAAATACAGGTCGTACCTAAATGAAAATGATATTATTAGAAAGAGCGAGAGCGCCCCCTTGTGATAACATGCTTACTCTACCTCGTACATGTACGAGGTTTGGCGAAGTTTTAAGAACGAACATTACCTCGTACATGTACGAGGTTGGCACTTCGAACTAACAAATATACCTCGTACATGTACGACTTTGGCACTGAAAGAGTTAATGGCCTTTCACACCACTCCAAATCTCTGTGTTGGACCTGGGAACCCCTCGCGCTAGCAAGAGTCCGACATGGCTTCTACATGGGTCCAGCGCTCTACAAGGGTAAAATCCAACCGGTCGGGACCAGAGTTGTGAGTCTTTACCCGGGTAGAAAATCGAAATCTACAGCCAACCTGTGCACACGTGTGATAGTGTGATTGGTGTATGCCTTATTTGCCTTGGAAGTCAGGTTGGCTCAATGGTTTGTTCTTTCCTCGCCTTCATACCTGTGAAATACATGTATGTTAAAGGTATAGTCCATCATTTGTAATTTGTGCATTTTGTTCGTTTGAAGCAACAAACGTGCTCAAAATCTAAAGAAGGGTATTGAACAACTAACCTGATGAAGTTTCAGCTCAGCTTCAGCTGTGTATTCCGAGAAAAACAGCATTCTAGGATCTCAAATTCAAATCAAAAGTTGCTGAATCATGTTTTGAATTAGGCCTGAATTCAGCATCTGAGACACGTTCTCAATGAGCCAATTGCAGCCACGCGATGTCACGCACTGATCCGACGAATTATAGCAACCGCGCACGCGCGTGTGCGACCGTCGTGCCAATGCTTGCACGTGCTTCGCCGCAAAACAAAACGAACTACTAATTCAAATTTCCTACGGTGCGTCTTAAGAAGCACCGCTGGAAAGGCCTTCTTTTGTTGATTTCTTCAACATACAGCTCTCCAGAGGGAGTAATTTTACAGGGAGTTTAGTCCCCTTATTATCTCTCAACCAAGTATGTTTTTCAACAAGAATTACACCAGTTACTTTTTGGATAACTGCAAATGATAGACTCCAACTTTAACCAATATTGCAGAATTTTCTGTTACAGTTAACAGGGATATTTCCGGACCATTGACAATGGTACGCGCGCGCGTACACGGGCTTGAGATTTTGTTTTTACTGCCCCCCCCCCCCTAATTTTAGAGTCTGGCCCCACCACTGCACTTCGGGTTTTTCTAGTCCTGCAAGATCGAAGATTTATCATTTTGACCAAGTTAATGAAAAATCTGCACGTTCAGTACTTCATCATTCCAGAAATCCCTCAGTTAGTCCAACAAACAATTCCGAAGGTGTGCCTCTCCATTCACATTTGGCAAAACTTTCCTGTTATTCCTTGTATAAATCAAATACCCGAAGAGTACTTAGCATAGGAAATAAGAAAAATAAATTGACCGAGTGTGCGCAGATGTCAGAGTCAAACAATACTCGAATAATGTTTGCACACTATGAGTATTTGCCTTTTGGTTTTGACTCGCTACCTTCGTCATAGCCCTTCACAGCTAGCCATTACAGATCAATTTCAAACTGACAGTCACAATAAACATGATCTGGAAAAACACTCCGCACGTGAGCATCTCGGTGACTTCTCAGCAATGCGGAGGGAGTTGGTAGTAATGCCATGAAATGCTGCACACTTGTACTCTGTGTGACAGTGTAATTTTATGCAGTGTCGTTGGTAGTGGAAGATATTGCGAATGGTAGGCTATCAGTTGATAAAATGGTATGAAGAATGGCACTTTAAGTAGCGTGCTAGATTTTGTATCTGAAGTGCATTGTAATTGGCAAATGTTTTTGATCAGAATAGAATGTTCTTCAGTACTTGTGGCCCTACTTTAAAGGCCCACGCAATGTAATTGTTTAATGCAGTTCTTGGAAACGCAACTTTGTGTCCCATTGAATCCTATTTTCAATTTTTGTTTTGCCATTTTCAAGGGTATGATTTTGGCGCCTTTTTGGTTTTTATGCTAATGAAAATTTCCATATTCGTGAGCAAAAGTGTGAAGTCATTTCAGACAGAAACCACAATGTATTTGGTGCTGTTTCAGCACCAAAAGTTGACAGAATTTTAGATATTTCGCTGTTGTAAATTTTCTTTACTTTGATGATCCCGTTGTTGTGTCAGTACATGGCAGTAAGCCAATGAGCAATTTTTCAGTAATCCAATTTTTGAGTTCTTCATTTGAACAGAAAACCCTTAAACTGAACTGTGTCTTCCTGAAATGACATCACAGCATCAGTGCCCTAAGTTGTCCGAAAAAAGCATGGAAAGTTGTCAATGTTTAAAGAAGTGCACCTTTCAATAAAATTAACCAAAAAGGGATGTCAAATGTTTTTAAGAAGCGTTGAAAGCTGCGAAAAATATGTTCCTAAGAAAATTCACTTCATGGACCCTACATGTATCTAAAAAATGAATCTATCAAAAATTGCATCCAAGAATTGCAGGCAATTTAATGGTTAAACCAGTGAAGAAGAATGAACATAAACAAGCAGTGATGTGTTTTCACTACAAAACTGTTTTTTGCTTTCTACAACATGTGAGTTAAATGTTCAAACAATGAACTAATTGTATTAAGTATTAATTAAACCACCTATCACTTGATCAGTCACAGACAGTCACAAAATTCCTCCACTTCCCCTGCCATGCATATGTATATATGGACTAGAAAAAACAGTCAGATCAGATTCATGTAAACGCTGTGACTAGTCAAATTCCAGCAACAGACATAAGAGGTAACTGGTAGGTACAGCTGGCATAAAGACATATCAATCACCTCCAGTCAAAGCATGGCTTGTATCAAATTACCAAACAGTCACTTGATTGACTGCTGTGATGGCTTGCTCAATTTGTCAGCCGTAGAGGTGACAGGTTGCCTCTTTTGCTCAACTTGATCACTTTTAATTGTACATGTAAGATAGTTTACCTGTATTTGCGGACAGATGGGTAAACTTATCCCGTTTCATCACATTAAACATGATCTATTAGGTGAAAAATATTGAAATGTCTAGCTTGACTATAAATTTGTTATGTCATTCTTGTCAACTTTGCCCTCAGTATCTAAGAACCAAGAGGCATCAGCGTCAGGATCCTGTTTGAAGAAGCAGAACTCCGTTGCCATAGCAAAAGGTGAGTAATATCAGCATTGTGATAAAAGGAACCAAAAAAAAGATGATTAAAAGTTTCAAAAGCCTTCTATTGGGGAAAAAGATATTGTCTCAGTAACTATAAAGCTTGCTTCATGATGGTTCTGGGATTTCATTTTTTTTTGTAAAAGTTTTAATAGGATTTAAATCATTAGCAAAATACTAAATTTGTTAAAAGTTCAGAGATTATTGTGATCTCTTACTTTTTACTGTAAACAATTATGCAGAGAATATCAAGACTTGAATGTTTTAATCATAGAAATATATTAATAAGGCATTTGTTTTTCTAACAAATTTTCTATTTAAGTCACAAGAATGGCTTCAACTTCAACTTCAAATTTGTTTTAAAAAAGCCAAACCAGAGCTTGATAAGAACTGTTGTCAATGTACCGTATCAAAAAGCAAACTATCATCTGAATGTGTTTTTTTTTCCAACCTCAGACATCAAGCCATTTTTCATGGACAGTCTGGAAGACGTGTACGTCATGGAGCACGCCACGGCCGTCCTGAGCTGCAAGGTCTTATGTGAGCCTCCTCCGATCGTCAAGTGGTTTCGAGACGAAGACATCATCAACAACGAGAGGATGCAAGCAACCTACAAGGAGGATGGCACGTGTTTGTTGGAGATCAAGGATGTAACCTACAAGGATATCGGAGAGTACGAATGTGTGGCTGAGAATAAGACGGGGAAGGCTAGCTGCAGATTGTACCTGGATGTTGCAGGTGGGTGGGTTGGTTAGCAATCAAGATAAGTGATGCATTCTGGCAAAATGAGACAGAACTGGGCAGAGATCAAAAGGAGGGTTTGCAGGTATCCGCTCCGTTCACAAGTACCCCCTCACCGGCAAAGAGAGTATAGTTGGGGGTGACCGATTGAAGCCATTTTGCCTGACTGCAATTCATTTGCCGCGAAGCACGGCCACTGCGTGTACATAGTACAAATCCCCTGGTGTACATGCGTCACACGCAAGGAACGGTGTGCATCAACCAGCGAAATGTCCCGCCCATGGGACGTCGTTGCTAGGTAAAGGGCGCCCTCTTTGTCGGCGCATGGAGCCCATAAGGAAGGAAGGAGAATACTGTTTGTTGCACTTAAGACATTCCATTGACAAAATATTGCTTTTAAATTTCGCATTTTACGAAAAAGGCTGAGATAAAAGGCGTTTAGCCTAATGTTTTAAGTTTTGTATTCGTGAAAATGAAAGATGGCAATTGTTTTTTTCATAAAAACTCTTTTATTCTACAATTTTTATACTGCATGTATGTCTTTAAAATCTGTGTAGTAGAAATATCAAAGATTACAAAAATCAATAAATCTGAAAATATAAAAAAATCACCTGCATTAGTTTTTTTGGCATTTTTCTCGACTACAGCCTTTGTCCATTTCCGTCTCATTTTGCCTGACACTTCACATATTTGCAATTTGTTGACTTTTATTTACTGATTTACCATTGAATCGATAGTATTTCAGTGGTCCATAGTCTGAAATTTTTTTCATTTATTTTAGAATTAGTGTTACCTGAGGATCTTGATTAAGTGTGTTCAAATTTTTTCGCATCAATAAGAAGTGAACAATACAATAACTTTTTGTGAAGCATATTAGCCATACATGCGTTCATTTTTCTATTTCTTATTTTTGTTTATGTTTTTCCTCTTTTTTTTACAATTCTAAATGTTCTCACAGAATAATTTTCACTTGTCACAATTCAAAAGTTGATATTTTCATCCTTTTAGGACAGCCTGACGTTTATAGTTGATTCCAAACTTTGAAAATTTGAATCCTTTCATTCGGCACTTGTAAGATTTTATACTGAAGTCAGATTTACTAAATTTTACTTTTTACTCAAATTTATGCTGATGTTAATTCATCCCATATTATTTAAATGGCGTTTCCCTGGCATTGATACAAATGACAAGATAAATTTCCCATTTGTTTATAGTTCCACTTTGCTAAAAAGCAGACTTGCATGTAAAAAGAGACCGCTAATGTACACTGGTAATTTATGTATTTTCATTGTGAACTTCCAACCAGCATGTTGGAATCAATCATATAAAGTCAATATTTGTAATTCCTCCGACTGTCTGCCAAGGCGCAGCTGAGTAAATGATGGATTTTTTTCCCCCCATCCCGTCACTTTGGCTATTCGGAAGCTAAATGTTCAAGAGCATATGTTGGTGTGCTTGCCTGGTGTACACATGTGGATGGTTCAGTTGGTGAGTCAGCAGTAATTGTGACATGGTTTTGTTTTATTCAGCTGGCGTTGGTTGACAAGAAAAACAAAACTGCATTGCTTCCTAAGCCATTCTCTGTTCATTTATCACAGCCGTGTCAAAATAGAGTTCAAATAACAAGTGTTAGCTGTAGATTTGATGGACTGATTCTGAGATGAAATTATGTTTTGAAGCTTTTGCTCTGAAGCCTGCCACTTGCCGTTGTGAAACCACAGAGGGCTCTCCGGAGTCGTTGAACCGAACAGTAGGTCAAGGATGATGTAACCAGAATGAACTTCAACAGATGACTATGGTCTTTCATAGTCTTGTTTGACATTGTTTTAGATCATCCTTTTGCCACTGCATAAGCTGACTTCAAGTGGTTTGTGACTCGCATTCCATGCACACATTACATGACTTTGTTTTGCTGGTAGCCTGCTGGTAGCCTGTTTTCACTGTGTTTGAGAAATTTTGTTCTACTTGATTTCAGGTTATAACTTGTAGCCATTTGACTTGTGGAGTTTAGCTAGTCAAGTGACTGAAAGTTCAACAATGAATGTTTAGTTTTCTCATATTTTTGTCTCCACAGAGGCACCTGACATCATCAAAGGCTTCGCAGACACCAGCGCTCCGGCAGGTGAGCAGCTTCGCTTGGACGTCCGCGTGGGCGGCATCCCTGAACCCGATGTGATCTGGTACAAAGACAACCGTCCTCTCTCCCCGACCAGTAAATTCTCCTTCCTGTTTGAGGGTGAGGATATGTGCTCCTTGAAGATAGACCAGGCCGTGCCAGATGATGAGGGATGCTATAAGATGACGGCTATCAATATGGCAGGGGAGGTCTCACATTCTGCTAAAGTGACTGTACCAGGTGAGCAAAGTAATTCTGAGGATTTGTGATACAGGAGCCAGGTTTGTAAAGTGGTTTTTTCCTCGCCTTCCACCTTTGCCTGATTTTGTGGGATTTCGATCCCTCCAAATTGTCCAATATAATTCCATGCTTTTCTCCCACCTGTGACGGAACATTTCTTCGACATTGCTCTCGCCAAGTTTCTTTCACTAAGACTTTTTGAGATAGAGTGTTCCTCAGCTGAAAACAGTCAGATAAAGTAAAACCAATTTTTTTTTGTTAAGCAAATTTAATTGAAAGATATCTATTCTTTTAAAATTCTCCTCTGTGAATATTTTTGGATATTTTTGGCCATCGTTTCTCTTTGTTAGATCCAATGAAGTATTTCTTCTCTGACAGTCGGATTACAATCAAGAAGGATATAACCGTTGAAGATGAGTATGATGTTCAAACTGAACTTGGCAGGTAAGCAGTTCTGTTTTACTCTCGTGGTGATCAGAGCCTCGGGTTTTTGGTGTGATAAAACTGCGGTGTAAAGTTAGACCAACATGCAATGGAAAGAGTTGTTTCATTCAGTGACAGATGGAATGTTCCATCTATCACTGAATGAAATTATTTGTGCCATTGCAATCATAAACATTCATTATTTGCATGTCAGTTGTTTTGTTGTGGAGATGTATAGCTCAGACCTTCATCTTATTTAATATAAGGTTTTAATCATTATAAGATGGAATTTTGCATCAGGGTGATATAAATCAAATTAGGTTTTGCCTTTCACCGACGTTTAAACACTGTATACTCAGTGTGTTACCTCCCGAGTGAAAGTTGGAAAAAAAAACCCAGCCAACCGATCCCGTTAGCTCGGTGGTCGAGTGGTAAGACATCTGCACTAGAAAGCAGGAGGTCGTGGGTTCGAGTCCCACCCGAGTGATTTTTTCCAACTTTCACTCGGGAGGTAACACACTGAGTATACAGTGTTTAAACGTCGGTGAAGGGCAAAACCGAATTTGAGGTTTTAGTCAGTTAACTGTTCAGAAAAAAAGATACAGTTCTTCTCTTATGGTCAAACTTCTGTCCTCCAACCAGACGATAAAAGTAGACAAACAAACAGAAGAGACAAAATTAACTTGCTCAATCTATGAGCGGTCATGTGCAGAGCTTCAAATTCCTTCACTAACTGTGAATACACATTTGATACAAAATTTGACTATAAAACAAATCGGTTTTTGTTCAGACAATGTGGTGAATGGAGAGAAAAAATGGGACATGTGACCTTCATTTCACCCGCTGTGGAACGTACATCCCTGTGAATTATTTACAAAAACCTTGTTCTGAAATCTTGGAAATCATTTTTTAATGGAATTTGCCAGCCACAATCAAACTAAACACAGAAGTATTGGAAAAGACTAAGAAGGGATCTATTAAAATTTCCCTTGAATTGAGATAAATATCATGATAAGAGAAAGCAGGATTCTGGCAAGGAGTTTCGCAACAAGGCAGTCAGGGGAAAGAATCCTGAGGAATACATCACTTTACTAGACCTCGGAGGAAAATTGATATGGGTAAGAGGGGGCAGTAAATGAGAATAAATGTGATTTGTTCCGAAATCCCTTGATTCCAGAGGTGCGTACGGCGTCGTCAAGAAGTGCACCAACAAGAAGACAGGTAAGGAGTGCGCTGTCAAGATCATCCGAGTCAAAAACGGGATGTGGGATGATCTGAGGAGAGAAGTCCTAGTGATGGGGATGCTGGATCATAAACGTCTCATCAATATCTACGATTCCTACGAGACCAAACAAGATGTCATCATGGTCATGGAACTGTATCCTTTTAATTTATAGTTATCATTTTTATATAAGTGTGGGCTTTTTCCATCCAGCTTGACCAATGTGTGTGTATGAGTTTGTTTCTGCATTCAATAGGGGACATTGAACAGTAGAGGACAATATGGTCCCCAATTCCTGAGAGGTCCCTTATTTGGATTTGTGTACAAAACATGTGGGGAGGTCTTCCTAAAAGGTTTGAGTACAAACAAAAGAGGGACAATGGGGGGGGGGTGCAGGCAAATACACACTTGCCTGTGTAAGGGCAAGAGAAATGGTGTCAGAGAAATGACCTTCACCTTTTTAGATAGATCTAGTTAGTCCACATTTGGTTTACACATCCATGAATAGGTGCAAGCCAGCTAGTCTGGTTCCCTAACCTGACAATTCTTGGACGCCTGTAAATTGCTTTGTTCATTTGAAGTAGGGTCAGGGAACCATGACTACAAGAACAGCAATTTCTTTGGTTTTTCCAGCATTTATGAACACAAAACTTTAAACATGTCGATGAAACAATATTTGCTATAAAATACTAACCCCCTAATGATCCATTTTTGAAAATTACAGCAAAAGCAAATAATGTATGTTATTTTCTAGAATTCTGGTTTTCAGGTCAATCCAGTTCAATCCAGCAGTTTGCAGCGGTTTTGTTAATTTTTTCCTGTTTATTCCGGTCTGAGAAATTATTATAATATGCTATCCAAAAAATGTTACGAAGAATACCTACAAATGTTTGAAACTCAGCTTGTCAAAAATTGGTCATCTTTATGAAAATATTTGTAATCCCAAATTTTCAATTGAAATCTTTGAAGAAGAGTTTGATTTGTATACCTAAAAAAGGTTGTTTAATTCCATTACTTGTTCTGGCCATGAAATCTGGCGGTTTTTAATTTGAGCATGTTTTGGCCTTATTTTCGCTGACCCGGCCGTTGTCAATTTTCAATCAACATGATGTCAATTTGCTGCCAGTGTTTTCCCATGCAGCTGTTTACAGTTACTTATTAATTTATGCACCACAATTTCATTAATTTGTGCGCACTGCACAGTGATATTCGCCGAAGAACAAGCATTGTACATCCAGGGAGACCCCAAATTGTGATTGAATGTATGCCCTTCTGAATGTGACAAGCCCACAGGTGTCCTTTTGTTCTTTTTCTTATCAATTTCATATCATTGTTAAGAGTTGTGATGACAGGTGAAAATATATTGTGATAGTTGAATTCGCTGCATGTATGTTAATTAGTGTCTAATGACAGGTGTAAAAATGGTATTATGTTAATGTGCATTACGAACAGTTGAATATTATTCCATGGCAGAATAGAATAGGCCTAAATAAATGTGTCACTTGTGTATTGTAAGTACATTTGAATGTTTGTTTTGGTGATATGCTTCCAGAAACACATTGGCTCAAAATTAATGGAGGTTTTCTCGGCTATGTTAAAATGTTTATCATTCGAATTCACCGTTTCTAATATTTTGCACTTCCAATGTTTCATTTCGTCTTTTGTCAGACAATTTCAAATTCAGTTCAAGCAAATTCAAACAACCAGCACACATTGTTATTCAGAAATCAAATTTGTCTAATTGATTTATATCAGACAGATTCAATCTCTGAATGCTGCCATTTGGCAACAGCAAATATTCTCAACTCGGTGACCAAACTTTGAAATTTAATGATAAATGACTAAATTGGTTTTCTTCATGCGTGTGAAATTTTTCTCGGACGAAACTGAATGATAGATGTTTGTGGATTTTAATGAAAAATGTTTTAGTGGGGAAAACCTATATATAATAATAATAACCTTACCTAATGTTAACCACGTGATTATTAGAATTTCTTTTTTTTTAATTGTGCTCCCTTTTTGTGGGCGGAGACTTTTCCCATCATCCTCCAAAAGTGGATCTAAATAGGCCAAAAATCCGTCTGCCAAGCTCATGAATAAAAGTAATACCCTCAAAATATTCTATATTAGAGAGTTTGGAGAGCCATCAAATTGGGGAATTGAAGAGATATGGTAATGAACCTCTGGCCCGGACTTGGGGTTTCCAATTCTGAGCATTTTGGATGCTATTGGGCTCGAAAGTGGCGCTATTTTGCCACGTTGTGGAGGGATCGTTTTTCAAGATGGCTACTTTTCCGCTTTGTGGAAAATAAGGGTCGTCTTCTTTGGGTGAGAATATCTCGAAAAGTTAATGGTCAACCCACCAAAAAATGAAAAGAAAATGAAAGATGACACATTGATCATCATTTTTCTGTACAGCTTGAATACCTGTGAGACTTCTGAGTATTTTTAATAGAATTTTGAAGTATGCGCATTTAGCACTAGTGTCTATGGGATTTTTTTTGCAGGGTTGCACTCTGTAGGGATCATTTCATCATCATATTTTTTCCAAGTTGTCCAAATTCTCAGACATCACAAGTCTGTGTAGCAGACTTATAAAGGAGCCCTTGTAACCTGATAATGCTTATATCAACATTCATATATGACCTCAGTTCACCTTTGACTTTTTGCGTTTAAGAAATCTGGCATTTATAACTGCTAGACAGAATCTGAGACAGTGTTTGTTTTGAAAGTATCCCAGATTACAAACAAGTCCAGGTTATTTATAAACTAGCTGTACAGGTGGTCTGAGACTGGAGTGGATGTGAAATCAGAGAATTGAAACTTTTGAAGAATCCTTTTGACAATATACAGGTGTAACAAGTTGTGTTTCTTACCAAATGTGCGATATTTTTATGGTGCTTTAATAGTTTGGAAAGGTGGAAGTGGCACATCGTTCTGTAGGGTGCGTTTTAGCCTGCAATATTTTGAATAATCCAAAAGCTTAAACAAACAAAAATGGGGGGGGGGGGGGGGCAGGCGCGTACGCAGGGGGGGTGTTTTGGCTGTTAAACACCCCCCTTTGCCATGTAAAAATATGGAGGGAAAAGAGAGTTATGTGACCGAGCGCGGAACAATTACAAATTATGTGCATGTTCTCAACTTTAAGCTTTGAATACAGAAGACACTTTGTAAGAGCAAGAGTATATAGGCCTATATGTATTTGAAACAAATGAAACAAAATATCCCCTCATAATTTAAAAAACTTCTGCTAAAAAAACCAGAGGAAAGTGGCCAGGAAACGCCTCAGATTGCACCACAGAGCATCTACGATCCAAAATTTCCCGGGGCCCTTAAGCGGGCCCCGGAACCCCCACGCCGTAAGTGCTTCGCGCTCCGCGCTCGCATTGGTCCTCCGGCCAAATTAATCCCGGGACATACCGTTATTTCGTTTTACTGTTTTGGATTTCCTCAAAAACAAAAACAGTAAACGAACCATTGACCGTTTTCTCGTTTTACAGTTTTGTAAAACGGTCAAACGGTATTAAGTCACACACAAAAATACTTTTTGTTGTTGTTTTTAATTGTAAAAAGCGTTAAACGGTTAGTTGCTTTATTTTTAGAGTGTTGTTTTACAAAATCATGACAATGACAAAACGGTCAATAGTCTTGCCGACCATTTTTTGATTTTAGGTTCGGCAATTAAGCAACGCACCGAAATGTTAATTAATGCGTCCTTGGGATTGAGTCATTGCCTGGGCCCCGCTCCTTACATTTCGTTCTCACGACAACATTTGCGAATTGGCTATTGAAGAGCCGCGTCGACTTGAACCCCAGTTTCCTTCAAAATGTCTGCAACTTCATCAAACGTCTTATTACCATCCTGTTTCCATTGTGAAAAGTAATGTCCTCCCTTGAAGTTTTACAGCGCCATTTTGCTTGGAACTCTTTAAGCCCCACCAACTTGACTGAATCGCATGAGAAAGGGGTCAGGGTCCGCGCCAGGAATCACATCACGCATTAATTATGCCGAGGTAACACTTCTTCGTGTAAAACATGGTCCCCCTCCACCCCCTTGCCCACCGCCACAAAATGCACCACGGACTGTTAACCATGACACTGGAATGAAAAAAACAGTCTGTATTTGTGTAATCTGTAAAACAAAAATCATTGATCGTTATGCTATAATGAATTTTACTAAACTTATAAAACGGAGAAACCGTATTTATCTTAATACCGCTTGTCGTTTTATAACACTGTAAAACGACAAAACAGTCGATGATTCGTTTACTGTTTTTGTTTTTTAGGAAATCCAAAACGGTAAAACGAAATAACGGTATGTCCCGGGATTCAAATTCCCTCTATGCTATAATTTCACCCTAGCGGTGCCCCCACCATTTTGTACCTTCAGCAGCGAATGGCTCTACAAGTGGCATAAATCCCTTTCCAAAATAGAAAATTGTGAAAAAATACGGAGATGGAACATGGTTCTCAACTTTGAGTACGTAACAAACTTTAAAAACAACAAAAAAAATAACAAATTTAAATGGAATTTTCGATGTTTAAAACGTTTTCTAAACGGTGGAAGTGGCCAGGAATCGCCTCAGATTGCACCACAGAGCATCTAAAATCCATTTTTTTCCCGGGGCCCTTAAGCGGGCCCCGGACCCCACGCCGTAAGGGCTTCGCAGGTCCTGGACCCTTCATTACAATAATTCTAGGCCCCCGGCAAATGGCAGTCTGAATCCGCTCCTGTGACCAGAGCGCATATGTATCCTGTATCTGAAGTTTGGCCTTAGGGGTGGGGCGGTTTACACAAAGATTCCCAACGGATGAGAATCATGAGATCCAGGGGACGAAGCTGAGTGATTTTAGCCAATAACAAGAACAGATCCTAGCACTTCCGCAGCCCGTGTCACTTTTTTTCTTGAATTTCTTCTTTTTTTTGGTTTAAATGCTGTTGAGGGAGGGGACTGCCCACATTGACCCCTTTACTCATATGTTCATCATACTCTAAAGACACAGAACATTTTTTTTCCCGATTTACTATGCTTTAGCTCAAAAAGATAACTGATGGTCGTGGGTTCCCGGCCCTTCGAGTTTAACCCATCCAAATATACCCTGACTTTTATTTTAGCGTAAAGTTTAGCCCACTGATACTATTTTTTATTTCTGGC